GCAGTGCAGGACTCTTGTGGTGCAATGTATGGGATTACATTGGTATCTGATAGTCTAATATCCTTAAATTACTCTCTCTGTATCCTAACACTTGTTAGGGCCAAGCAGAATAGAAAACAAAATGAAATATCTGATACAAATTGACCTATTAATCCATATGATTTTTCCTATCCTGGTACATGAACAATGTTCACAACACATCAGCACATTAATATGTAGTAATACTGTTATTAGAGGCTTATAAGACATTTTGCCACTTTTACCTTCAAATATATCCTGAGGCTGTAAAATACTCTACAGTTAGCATTAACACAGCCTTAGATACATTCTTTCACTTTGCGCTAAGGGATTTTTATGTCCTTGGCAGACACTTAGATTTGTAGAGTGACCGAGTATACAGGAAAGAGAACAAAGAAGTGAGAATACAACATAAGGGTGAAATGAAGCGGTCTGGAAATACCTGGTTTCTTTTTCCTCTGTAGGTATTTGGTTAAGCTGTACACACTTAACACCTTCACAGGGTTAATGAGTGCCTGAGTGCATAAGAGCTGAAGCTTAATGGGCCACCCAGTTCTGCTCCTCTGAGGTCAAGGTACTTCTCATTTACACTTGGATAAAGGCTTGTCTACATGGGAAAGCTATACCAACATAAGATAAGATGTGAATTTAAATGATCTCCATGTGTCAACACTATTATTCTGGTATAAGAGGGTCTTTCTTTTTATTTAGCTTATGGCTTGGTCTACACTTACCCCCCAATTCGAACTAAGGTACGCAACTTCAGCTACGTGAATAACGTAGCTGAAGTCGACATACCTTAGTTCGAACTTACCTCGGTCCACACGGGGCAGGCAGGCTCCTCCGTCAACGCCGCGGTACTCCTCTCGTCTAGCTGGAGTACCGCAGTCGACAGCGATCACTTCCTGGTTCGACTTATCGCGTCCAGACAAGACGCGATAAGTCGAACCCAGAACTTCGATTCCCAGCCGCCGAACTAGCGGCTGGGTGTAGACATACCCTGTGTCACTTTGGAAAGGGTTTAAGCTAACTGGGGAAAGTCACTCTTAAAAGAGTAAGAGTATCTGCACTGGGGTTTATACTGGTATAGTTATATTGGTTTAACTATACCAGTTAACTATACTGGTAAAACTTTCCTGTGTAGACATGGTCTAAGAGAGGGCAGGTTGTATGCACATTTTGTGACATTAGATCCAATATGTATACATGTTACAATGTATATATTTTTACAAAGAGCTCAAGAAATGGGTGTAATGTTGAAACCACAGCTACCAAAACACTTCATGTTTTGCAGTCCTGAAGTAGTCCAAGTGACTTTTATGCACTAAATATTTAAAAGAAGACAGTAATTAATGTTGTTAACTTTCTATTTCACCACACAGAGCAGTAAAAGACCAGGGAAAAATGACAGTAAATAAAAAGGCCTTAAACAGGAAAAATAGTTAAAAGAAAACCAATTAGCCATGTTGGCACTCAGATGCTAGACAAATATAAAAGTCTCTTATAAAGGATTAAAAAAAAAGGTTTTGTGTCCATTCTGAAAAGTTTTTTTTTTTAAGATGTAGAAAGAAGACCTGAAAGATAAGGCTTTCTTATTTTTATTCTACTAGTATTTTCACCTTTGGAAATATAAGCAATGTCAGTCTGGTTTTGCTGAAGGAGGAGCTCTTGGGAGCCTAGAGAAGGGGTATTATGAGCTCTCTGGAGTGTGGGGTACTGAATCTTTAACAACAGCTTTCTTTCTCTAGAATGTCCTGTGGATATTGGAGTTAAAAAGCTGTTAGTAAAAATAAACAAAAGCAAATGTTAAAAGTCTGGAAAAAAGGTAACTGTAAGGGGAAGGGATTTTAAGACCTTGTCTACACTTTAAACATGAACTGGTTTAACTAAATCAATATAAAAATCAATCTTGCTAAACCAGTGCAAACCCCTAATGTAGATTCACTTAAATGGGGTTATCCTTGCTTAAATTGGGATTGACTTAAGCTCACTTATGGTGTAGGGTTGTACCAGTTTAACAAGACTGATTTTTAAATTGATTTCATTAGACTGGTGAACTTTTCTAGGATAGACAATGTCTTAGGTAATCTCTGGTGATGTCATAATGTCCATAGTTTTCCAATAACAGTAGAATCTTCCAGGATAGACAAGACCTACATTTCTAGGGTGAAATCTGGCTTCACTGGACTTAATGGCAGAACTCCTACCTCTGATGTCAAATATGATTGGAATAAGAGTGTTAAAATTAATGGTTATAACCTATGTAGGAAGGATAGAGTGGTACTTTAAAAGGGCAAATTATATAAAGCTGAAGACAACTCTGAGCCAGAGCAATTGGGAGGAAGAATTTAATCAGAAAAATGTGAATGATAATTGGGAATTGTTTAAGAACACTTACTAGATGCCTCAAAAGTCACAATCAAGGAAGAAGGCCTCATTGTTTAGAGGGGAAGTGAGGTCAGCTATAAAAATATACAAGAAAGGGAAAATTGATAGTATTGAATATAAATCAGAAGTGAGGAATTGTAGAAAATTGATAAGGGAAGCAAATGTACACAAGGAGAAATCTATGGCCAGCAGAGTTAGACAATAAGAATGAGGTTTTTTTAATATATTGGGAGGGGGCGAAGATTCCTAACAATGTTATTGGTCTATTACTAGATGGAAATGGTAGAATTATAGATGATAATGCAGAAGAGGCAAAAGTGTTCAATAAGTATTTCTGTTTTGTATTTTGGAAAAAAACAGATGATGTAGTTATATCATATGATAACACTCTTTCCATTTCACTAGTATCTTATGAGGATGTTAAACTGCAGCTATTAAAGTTAGATGTTTTTAAGTCAGCAGGTTTGGATAACCTGCATCCAAGAGTTTTAAAAGCGCTGGCCGAGCAGCTCACTGGACTATTAACATTGATTTCTTTAATAATAAAGAATTAAAGGACGGAAATATAATTAATGTCAATCAACATGGGTTTATGGGAAATAGATCCTGTCAAACTAACATGATTTTTTTTAATGAGATTATAAGTTTGGTTGATAAAGGTCATAGTGTTGACATAATATACGTAGACTTCTATAAGGTATATGACTTGGTACCGCATGACATTTTGATTTAAAAAAAAAAAAAAAAAGAAAGATATCAAATTAACATGTCAGCCATTAAATAGGTTAAAAGCTAGCTAACTAGCTAATTACAAAATGTAATTGTAAATGGGGAATCATTGAATGGATGTGTTTCTAGTAGGATCCCGCAGGGATTAGTTCTTGTCCCTACACTTTTTAACATTTTTATTAATGACCAGGATGAAAACAAATTAATCACTGATAAAATTTGCACATGACCCAAAAATTGGGGGAGTGGTAAATGATGAAAAGGACAGGTCACTGATATAGAGCCATCTGAATTGCTTGGTAAGATGGGCGCAAGCAACAATGTGCATTTTAATATGGCTAAATTTAAATATATACATCCAGGAACAAAGAATATAGGCCATATTTACAGGATGTGGGACTCAATCCTGGGAAGCAGTGACTCTGAAAAAGTTTTGGGGGTCCTGGTGGATAATCATCTTAACATGAGTTCCCAGTGTGACGCTGTGGCCAAAAGGGCTAATGCGATGCTGGGAAGCATAAACAGGGGAATCTCAAGTATGAGCAGAGAGGTTATTTTACCTTTGTACTTGACACTAGTGTGACCACTGCTGGAATACAGTTCTGGTGTCCAGAGTTCGAGAATGTTGATAAATTGGAGGGGATTCAGAGAAGAGCTACTAGAATGATTATGAAAGGATTACAAACATACCTTTTAGTGATAGAGACTGAGCTCCTTGAATCTTTAACTTAACCTCCTCTTTGTTAAGGAGGGGTCTTGATTACAGTCTATAAGTACCTATATGGTGGGCAGATATTTAATAATGGGCTTTTCAGCCTAGCAGAGAAAGGTCTAACACAATCCAATGGCTGGAAATTGAAGCTAGACAAATTCAGACTGGAAATAAGGTGTACATTTTTTAACTGCGGGAGTAATTAACCATTCAAACAACTTACTGAGGTTTGTGGTAGATTTTCCATCCCTGACAATTTTTAAATAAAGATTGGATGTTCGTCTCAAAGATATGCTCTAGGAATTATTTTGGGGAAATTCTATGGCCTGTGTTTTATGGGAGGTCAGACTAGATGATCATAATGGGCCTTTCTGGCCTTGGAAACGATGCATCTATGAAAGGAAAACATGATCCCCACTATTTATTTTTTTCAAAAATTAAAACTGGCCATTTTTTAGGCACCATGGGGGGGAGCACAAGCCCAATTTTGTTGTCCTCTACAGGCCACTTTTTAACACACCTAAACCATACTTATTGTGCAATCCTCATAAGACGGGCTTGTGTGTGTGTGTGTGCGCTTCCAGTCAGAATCAAGATTTATTTCCCTTCCAGAGTCTGTTACTGGCTTCTAGATATAATATATTCTGATATAGACCTCAAAGTTGCATGTATGTCTTTATAAATGACTGTATTTTACAGACTGTAAAATAAACATTCCATACTACCCTGATTGGGCTTCTGCAGTCATGATGCACGTGCATGAAGGATTTATAGAAAGAAACATGTTTAAACAACAAAACATCCTTCCAGAGGAAAAATCTGCCACATACATCTGTGCTTTTCTTTAATGAGGAAGAGATTATATAGGTGTTTTTTGTGCCTCATATCTTAAGCAACACTGGTATTAACAACCTTATTTCTCTGGGATATTCCCAGTGGACTTGAAGTGACTAGAGATCTGAAGAACTAGCTGGCAGTGAGAGAACTTTGGGGCACATCTAGCCTCTAAATACCAACTCTCTAGGGTTGAAATCTGGAAACACCTTGTGGTGACTGGAAATGTCTAGGCTTTGTTTCCCCCGTTTACAAAAGAAAAGCACAGCCTGCTGAGAAAACTTACGTGAAATCACCCTGTGCCTCCTCCTTCTTGCAGATGCGTACAACCCGCAAAGTATCTGTGTGGCCTGTGGGGCTAGTGGGAGGTCGACGGTATGAGCGCCCTGTAGTGGAAAATGGCAAAGTTGTTGGCTGGTATACTGGCTGGAGAGCAGACCGTCCATTTGCCATTGATATGGCAGGTAAGTATTGATAAAGCTGTTCTATAGGATATATGAACACAATGTCCTGTTTGTACTCATGAACAGGCCAAAAGCATATGTTTACTTGTAAAGTGGTCACTCTTAAAATGAGGACAACTTTGAAAATTTCCATTGTTTCCTGTGGAGTTCTTGATTCTGTAGATAGGAATATTGCTGAAAATGGTTACATCTTTTAAAACAGCAGAACTTTTGAAGTGCAATCATTGTACACAGCCCTTCTGGTTTTAAATATCCTACAAGTCTTGGCATGCACATTTTCTCCAATTAAATAGTTATTTGATAATAACCCAATATACTGTAATTTGCTTTAATTTTATGTGATAATTTTGATTTATGTTTGATTAAATTGTTTGTCTGCAAATCATTTAATTTTTGCAGGAAGCCTGGGTCTTTCATTGTATGATCAACACACACTATGCAGTGTAAATGCAGACACTTCGTAAATCTCATGTTGTAAAATGCTACTTTATCATGAAATGATTCATTTTCTGTTGGTTATGTGAAATGATGACAGTGATAGTTGTAGATGGATATGGTTTGAAACACCGGGCTTAGGGGAAAAATCACTGACAACTATAGCCTGCTAGATAGAGGCAGAAAAGCTTTAAAATTGATCTCATCAATCTTCTACTGTGAAGTTAGCACACCACATAGCTGTGTCTAGCTGTCAGCCCATGCTTGGCCAATCTTTCATGTATAAATCTCAACTGCTGACAGAATCTCTTGTGTGCAGAATTCTGACTTTTGATGTAGCAGTCTTCCACCATGGTATAACTTTTTTGTACTTTTAAAACCCCCTCTGTATTAGTTTTCTGTGTGAGGGACGGTGAGGGGAAGAAAGGAATGCAAAATGACCACATGTTTTTCTCTTGAAACTTTGTGTGAAGGCACGTACTACTCCTCTAAGGCAGGGGTTCTCAAACTTCATTGCACTGTGACCTCCTTCTGACAACAAAAATTACTACACGACCCCAGAAGGGGGACTGAAGCCTGAGCCTGCTTGAGTCCTGCAGCCCCAGGTGGGAGGACCAAAGCCTGTAACCTGAGCCCCGCCACCCAGAGCTGAAGCCCTTGGGCTTTGGCTTTAGCCCTGGGCGGTGGGGCTCGGGCTTCGACCCCAGACCCCAGCAAGTGTAATGCCAACCCTGGGGACGCCATTAAAAAGTGTTTGTGACCCACTTTGGGGTCCCGACCCACAGTTTGAGAACCGCTGCTCTAAGGGATAGCCAGGTGCTCACAACCAAAACAGGTTGGTGAGGGTGGGGGTTGGGAATCAAGGACTGGCCCTTCCCTAGGCCTCTTGGATTTCACAGACCTTTTCAAGGGGTATCCTATTTCAGGCCTACAGTCCAAAATGATTTATAAAGAATATGAATGTTTAACCTCTAAAAACAGTAATAGAAAAGTAATGGTGGTTAAAATAATTCCTAATACTTTTTCTTTGGAGACATTACCAAATATTGATCACTTATTATTCAAAAATGTTACATTGTAAGTCCAAAGTGTAGGAACATTTCAAGTAAGATAAAGAGAGCAATTGGCCTTAAATGTCTACATTAACATTTTTGTCCTGTTTAGTGAGATAGTAGCTGCACTACTCTTTGTAAATACCTAGTTCAGTCCCTAAGCCACTGCAAACTTGTCAGACTGATGTGCAGTGTGGTTGGGGGAAGCACATCTAAAAGAGCAATCCCTGTCTGTAGAGTTTTAGAGACACACTGGTGTTATGCTGTGCAGGTGGTTGCTTATGGGCATTCAAAGGGTGATAGGAAGGTGTATAATTCATTAGCTACAGGCAAAGGCAGTTAGACAACATAAGCCCAGGGAATCTCACCCTTAGATGAAGAGGCATATGAAAAGTTGATGAGTTACCTTGGTTTATATTTCGAGATCATTACTTTGAATGTCAGGGGATACACTGGCGTAAATATGGGGAAGAAGCAACACCAATAGAGAGAAGTATCTGCTCATATTTTTAAAAAGCAGCTAATGGAAGAAGGGAGCATGGAAACAAAGTTGCAAATGTTGAAAGGAATGTGAAATGTTAGAAAGCAAGCCTCTTAGAGATTGGTGAGAGAAAATTCTTCTCACCTGCACCAAGTGTTTTTTTTAAATTTTCATTATTATTTTTATATTATTAAGGATCAAGTTTTTTCAACATCTTTATTTTGGTAAAGTAGCAACTAGACTCAGTGCCTGAGCTGGTAAACGGTCATGTCATGTTTGCAAAGGTGTTGCTACTTCATCATTAGCCGGAGACACAGGGTGGAAAGAGATGGAAAGAGTAAGAGTGTTATATGTAAATGCAGAATCAAGCAGACATTTGAAAATGAATGGTGTCCATCTGCAGGCATTTTGACCAGTACTAACTGTCAGGTCTTCTTTGAGTGCTTGCTCATGTCCATTCCATGCTAGGTGTGTGCATTGTATGCACAGTTGCAGGAGATTTTCCCCTCATTGGTATCCATAGGACCGACTCTAGCACCCTCTGGAGCCACGTGCATATGCGCTGGTATAAGGGGCGCCACCAGCCCCACACCGTCTCAGTTCCTTCTTACTGCCTGTGATGGTTGCACGGAATGATCCTTCTTGCTCTTGCAAGGCCTCTTTCCCAGTGATTTGGACTTTCTATTGTATATTTATTGTAGTCTGTGTTAGTGTACATAGTAGTGTTAATAGTTGTCCCTGCTGTCAAGGGACTTTCGCCCCAAGGGCTGGGTATGCCTTGGTCCCTGGACTTCAAGTCGTGTACCTTCTGTGGCAAGCCGATGCCAGTGAGTGACCCACACTCTAGCTGTCTAAAGTGCCTCAGGGAAACTCAGGTTAAAGAGAAGTGCCAGATCTGCAGGGGCCTTGCACACAAAAGGACGGAGACATTTGTTGGAAGGCTTTACTCATGGAGGCAGCCCTCAGATCAGTCTCGGAGCTGAGCCACTCTGAATTGGTGCCGAACATTTCGGCTTCCATGCGAAGTGCTCCACTGGCACCCTTCTCTATCCTTTATGCTGAAGAAGCAGCATAAGAAACAGTGCACCAAGAGAGGGCACTTTGCGGTGCCAAAGAGGGACAAGCAGGAAGTGACCAGTGCAGTGAGACCCGTGCCAGGCCACTTGTCCTCCCAGAGCCACTGGTGATTCCGGTGACTACACCTAGAGCGCCAAGTCTGGTATGGGCACCAGATCCATCCCCCCTTTTATTTCTGGACTGCCTGTCACCCTTCAGCCCAGCCTGGTCAGATACAACATTGGGAGCAGCAGTGGGGCCATGCACCTGTGGACTCGTTTGACCCTGGAGGCTTTCCAAGGCGGCAAAGGACCTAATGTCTCTCCCAGTCCAGCCGACCCCTCAAGGCGTCCTGCCAGCCAGGGGATAGAAGGGAGCAAGGGATGGTGAGCTCTACTGTGACACCGACCACTGCGACACCATCCTGGGGCAAACCCTCCTGTGGTCCTAATACAGCGGTCTACGGCCCGTTACTGGTCTCCAGCTCCCAGGCACTGCCTGGAGGCAGAAGTGGGTACTGCGCCACCCTGGTCTCCAAGAAAAGAATCCATTTTGGAGCCCGAAGGGGAATCCTTCGCTTCACCTAAGACCTACTGGTACCCGGCCTAAAACCCGGACTTTGGTACCAGCCCCCTGGCTGGCGCCTGGCCACCGGACCACTGGCCAATGCAGTAGCAGTATTGGAACCTGTGGGGGTTTCCTCTGTTATTGGGGCCTCCTGTCCCACTGCTCAGACTCAGTAGTATCAGAGGGGCGAGCCACCATTTCATCCCATCCGGCACCAGACGCTGACTCCAGTACTGGTACTGACGTCCAAGAAATGACCCCAATGGATGAGGTGGAGGAAGAGCAGGCGGACCCTCCTGTGTTACCGGCCTCCTCCTCGTCATTCCCGGATGCGACGGTTGCAGGTCCTAGTAATCTGCTCCCACTGCATGACTTCAGGGCCTACCAAGAGCTCCTGAAAAGTCCTGCAAACTTGGGACTGGAAGTCAAAGAGCTCAAGGAGCCTAATTGACATCCTGGCTGTAGCAGCTCCCTCCAGAGTGGCCCTGCCAGTTAACCAAGCAGTGATGAGACTTGTCAGGGCACTATGGCAGACTTCTCCTTCTCTGCCCCCAACTCAAAAAGGGCAGAGAAGAAATACTGTGTCCTATCCAGTGGGTTTGAATACCTCCACCCCCTGCCCTCCGTGGTGTTGGTGGCAAATGAGCAGGATAGAGGGGTCAGTTGAGCGTTACCCCCAAAAATAAAGAGGTCAAGAGACTGGACCTGTTTGGACGTAAGGTTTGTTCAACGGGCAGCCTCCAGTTGCATATCTCCAATCAGCAGGCTCTGCTGGAGAGATACGATTTTAACCTGTGGGACTCATTGTCCAAATTTAGAGACCTGCTACCATAGGAATTGAGGTAGGAGTTCACAGCCATCCTAGAGGAGGGCAAAGCAGTGGCCAGGACCTCCCTCCACGTGCCTCTGAATGCGACGGAGTCAGCGGTCACCATGAGGCGCTGCTCATGACTTGTCATTGGACCTCCCTCACAAAGTGCAGCAGTCCATTCAGGGCCTCCCCCTGAAGACTACCTCCCTGTTCTCAGTACAGACTGATTCCAAGCTTCAAGGACTCGAGGACTCTCCTTCGCTCCTTGGGCCTTTACACACCTCCTGCCTCCAGGAAGCATTTTAGGCCCCAGCATCCTCCCAGGTTTGTCTCATTTCCCAGGCAGGAGCCCTATAAAAGAAAAGGGAAGGGCTATAAGCGATGCCAACCCCTAATTTCTACCCCAGCATCCCAGTCAGGCTCACACAGGCCTTTTGAAGTACGCCCAAGGACAGTCTACCAGTCTCATCGCCAGATCCATCCCCCACTTTTTTTTCTGGACTGCCTGTCACCCTTCAGCCCAGCCTGGTCAGATACAACATTGGATCATTATATGCACTACAGCAGTCAGTTACACCCTCCAGTTTTCACCCACCCC